TATTGACTCAGAGGCCATGAGGGCGAGAGGAATAATTGTTTTAGTAAAACTCAACTAGTTGATCAAAAATATCGAGACAAAACAACTTAAGGCAGTAAAACGCGATTCAGCCGCCATTGTTTTGGTTTTCAAAGCTGGCGCTTTTAGCTACTAGTGGGCTATAACATATAGCCTATAGTAGTAGCTCAACCAATCAGAACGCAGCATTGATGATAGACCACTAGTTGGGTTTTACTAATGGCTCATATACCATGATGGCTAAGTCAATCAGAGCTCTAGATTTGCATTATCCAATGATTCCGTTTCTAATAATACGCGTTATTGGCAATATCAACCCAATGAACTAGACAGCCGTGACACAACCTCTTTAACGGAAACGCCGGTGTGTTCATTTAGACCTTGTGGGTTTCAATTTCATTTCACTAGCCAGGAGTGGGTACCAATACCATTGATAGGCCCTGTCACCATAGTTGGAATTCAAGTTTGAGTCCCAACAGTTTTTGTACCACCATGCTCCCTTTCCCGTTACAGCACAGTTATCACTAGTTTCGTCATTATCTCGATCCTTTGTAGTGAAAGCCATGCCATTATGGGAAGTCAATTGATCCGTAGCTGTACCAGCGTAAAACCCAACAAACATCGTGTAGTTAGACGCCTCGTTAGTGACTGTAAAACTGCTGTATTTTGCGTACTTGTCGCCATCTTTTTTTGTCTTGATTTCCACCCGCAGCTGACTCGAAATATCCGTCAGTTGATGGATCTTATCGTTTCCAAGCCAAAACTCCCCTCTGACGTCACCGAAGCCGTTTTTGTACTCGTTCCACCCCCTGAAGAAGTCCATATACCCTCTAAAGCGCTTGTGGAAGACCGTCCATCCTCCACCATCAGTCTTCATGTCACAATATACTTCAAAACTGGTTTTGCTCGTTGGGTTGACGGTATACACACCACTTTCTTTAAAGCCAGCAGAAAACAGCTCCTCACAATCTCGGGCTGCGGTCAATCAATAAGATAAACTCATTAGTCAATCATCAGTCTATCAACTTACATGCTAACAAATGATATAGAAATACTACAGTCAAGTCTGCGCTAAGGACGTACCCCTTACGTAGGTGTAAGCCGTCCCCTACTTAGACTACTTATGGCCCAGAGACATACCTACTAACGGACAGTCCTCTCCAACGCGGATGCTTTTTCTGGTCACCTGTGTCTGCTTCTGGAATTTCGATTGTGTACTTCAAGTTTTAAACAATATGACTACATCCTGGTTGTCCAGAAGAATCGCCGGGAAAGTGTGAGTTAGGCATGACTGCCACGGCGGAGGGTGAATTAATTTTTTTAACGGCCTTGCTAAAACAAGGGTAAGGCTAATGCTGAGGGTGGGGGTTAGGGTAAGGCTCATGGTCAGGAGAAGACAGATTACTTTCAAATGAGAAAACAAAGGAGGATAAAACGAATCTTCAGAAGTTCAATCTGTCTTTAAACTGTTCCTCTTAACATATTGACCAATATTTAGGTAGGTATTACCTTTTAGTTAACACTGATTACGGGTTACGGATGCAGGATATCATTGAAAAATTTCCGGTGATTTATTATTGTAAGTCGAGAATATTACATTTGAGCATAGCCGATTAAACCAAGATTTCCCAAGATTTTATTTTTATTTAACATCATCTTATATTAAAAATCAATGGCTGGTCTGATTTCAAGTTTTAGCTACTTTATTTGTTTCTGTTACCGTCAAGCCTCCAAAAACGTGACCGGGAACAAATCAATTTCTTTTGCTCTGAAAAGGACGCAAAAATGCATGGAATAATATTCTTTTCCTGGCGATCGTTTCCTTTACTCTCAGTGCCTGTTTACATGGAGTTGAAGGATCCGGGGTTAGCTAGGTAACCCACCCATGTGGGGTAAATGAATAAACCGCGTTTATGGGGGTGAGATTTCTTGTATGGCCGCTGTTGTAGACTACCCTATTTTGTATCAGAGAGAAATGGGGCTGCATAGTAGTCGAAGTGATTGAGCTTGAATCTTTACTTCCACTTTCAATTTCTGTAACATCCTCTTGAATTTCTTCGTGGCGTCGTTACAGTGCGGCGACGGGCTTAACCTTAACCTCGCCCTCACCCTCACCCTTAACCTCACCCTTACCCTTATCCTTAACCTTATCCTTACCCTTGCCCTTATTCTTACCTTCATCCTCACCCTTACCCTTACTCTTGGTCTTGCCCTTACCCTCGTTTTAGTAACGCTGGGTGAGATAATCTTCGCCCAAGTAACTGAGGGCGAGGTGCAGCACAAAATATGATACTAAATGTGAAGGAAACGCATTGGAAAACTAGTACTTTTGTGCCGAAAAAATATACTCTTAAGGGCCACAGAGCGGGAGATTTAAAATGTGCTACTTGCACAAGTGGTGCGATTTGAAAAATCAATATTTGCCTGAGTCTACTTGTGCTATTGACCTTTAAAGTTTGTAAGCTTTGCTCTCTTAATTCAGACCACGTGATGTTCTCAAGGTGATTTGCCTTTTGTCGTTTCATAAATTATGCCAGGGACCCATAACCCGGAGAGAGCAACTCCCATACTAGGCCTATATCACGGCGTTTTTACGGACCAGTTTATTTTTAGACACATTTTGGGACTCTTTTTCCCGCGAAAATAGCTCGCTGTGGGTTATGGACTCCTGATTATGCATACATATGCACGTTGATAGGAAGACATTTGAAAGGAAAAGTTCTGTTGTGTACCATCACGTGGTCTGGAAATGGAAAAAAATATGAAAACTGTCTGAAGTTTTCATATATGTTAGTTTACGTGCCGTGATACGTCGGAGTGAAATATATATTATTACAAGGTGAATTCGCACGTTAGTAGGGTCACTTACAGTTTCAGTCAGTAGTGAAAGGGCCTGATTCAACTTGTACTACCAGCCTCGAACATTTGGTACACTAAAAACTTGTATTTCATCAGGGATACTCATAGTTGATTAGAGTTGCAGAGATGTATTTCGCCTCTACTGAGATCAAGCCAAAAAACCAACAAGGCTAACATGCTGACAAAAAAGGGTAAAACTATAAAAAATTTAAAGCAAAAACTTCTTACCAGTTTTGACAATAATTCGTACTTCGGTCTCCACACGAAGCAACCCACTCCGAGCAGAGCAGATGTAAATGCCACTGTCTTTAGCCGTCAAGCTGTTTATATTTAGTTGTTCACCTTTCACCAGCGTGCGCCCCCCTGGCAAATCTCCATTGCATCGTGACCACGTGATGCTCGGTACTAACCGTCCATCTGCGGAGCAGTTCAGTGTAACTGACTGTCCATGATAACGCTCTATCTTCTTTGGTGGCTTGACAGTAAACTGAGGCATCTTATTAACGATCAAAGTTGTCATGGCGTGCGAAGTGCCCATAGCATTTCTGGCGGTGCAGATGTATGTTCCTCCGTCCTTCTGCTCTGCTTTCTTTATTGTTAAGGTGTGACCATCTACAGCTATTCTTCCAGTTGGAAGTTGATCAAAAAGCTTTGTCCAGGATATAACCGCAGGAGGATATCCAATGACTTGGCATTTAGGGAGACTGATATCTTTTCCGCTTTCAGCGTAGATTGGCCCTGGAGCGAGTGAAATGGCTGGTAGAGCTGCAAATGATCAGTTTCATTCAATGACATTACGTTTGTGTTTTTTTTTGTTGTTGTTGTGATTTTATTTCTGTTCTCCTCACTTCTGCTTTCCTAACTTAGAATAAGCGCCGGTATACTAAGCGGTTTGTTAGATCAAAAATTGTCCTGTGTTATTTTTTCATCAGAGTTAATAAGGTAATGGGCAAAAAATGAACGTCATACATTAAAAAACAGTACGCTTCGAGTGCAAGCCCTTCGTTGGAGTGCTAGTGTATCAAGGACTCTGGGTGCAAAACAAGAATAAAATAGAAGTTATAAGCATTATTAACCACGTCCGTAAGATAATAACTTGGTCCTAACTTTTGATAATTACTCGACGCATAAAGGCTGCAGCTTGTATCGCGATCTGGTGGTCAGTTAGAAAGGTTAGTATTTATATATCCCAAGCTATGACTGTAATTTAAACTAAAACATAGAAATTCTCCGAATTTCTTTTTAGAGGATCTTGCCGCTGACATCAAGAAAAGAGTATGAAACTAAAAGCAGAACTTTAGAACTACGTAAGTACTTACTATCACCCACTGACCTCCTATTAAAAATTTATGTGTTGTCTCAGGTGGCAATCCGATTAGTTATTGTCATTAAAACCCGGAATCTTTGAATGTTTTTAGCTAAATCAATCTGACAGGATTGCCCATGCAGTTGAACTGGTGTACAGCATGACTTTAAAACATATTTTAATTGTTAATTTATTTTTTTTACCTTTCACATTAAGTGTGACAGCAGCTTGTGCTGTCCCCTGGTAAGTGCGAATCGTGCAGACGTACTCGCCATTGTCACTGATGACCACATTCTTGATATACAGTGTTCCTTTGATGATGGAATGTCTTCCGACGGGGAGAGATCCATCCTTTTTAGACCATGAGATGGTCGCGTAAACGTTTTTATCTGGTGCACACTGAAATTTAGCTGACTCGTTTAAAAAGGCAGTCCTAAAGGCTGGCTGAACTAATATCCCAGGGGCTTTAATGACATCATCTGATTGGTTCTTAACTGGCTTTAGGTAAGTTGGAGTCAACGAACTAGCTACTCCGGGATCCCCCTTATCCCCCTTCCTTCCAGCGGGCCCTTGAGAGCCGGGAGGTCCTGGAGGACCCGGAGGTCCCTGAGGTCCCGATTTTCCCGGAGTTCCTTGAGATCCTGATTTTCCCTGAGGGCCTTGAGGTCCTGCTGGTCCCTGGGATCCCCGTGGTCCTTGAGATCCTGGGGCACCTTGAGGTCCCCGAGATCCCTTCACACACATTTGGCGTCCTTTCTTGGTGCAGAGTTTACGTGTTGCAGAGTTGACAGCTTTAGTGATTTGTTTTCTTATTGCTGGAGTTAGGGAAATGTTACTTTTGCTTGTGGCCTTGATGGCTCGAGCGCTTCGACTTAGCTTAATAGCTGAAGACAGGTTGGAGTCGATGTTCACGGAGTGGATATCTGCAAGAAAACAGTCATACAGACTCAATAGTTTCATCGTGTAATAAATGCATGGCTTCCATGTAATATTGTTAAAATTTTTTACACATTTTTAGCTTTATTCAGTGTTCATTTGGTTGGTTTGCTTGTGTGGCTTTGGATTGATACACTTTGCCTTTTGTGAATGGTGACTTAAGAACTTTCGTTTTTCCCCTCCCTCCAGAATTCATTTTGCAGATTCATGGTATACTTACCATACAGAAGACAATACACCTTACCTTCCCTTCTATTGTCCTAAGCGGTAATTTCCTAATAAGGTTAAAAATCACCTACTTCTCGCAGAATAAAAAAAAACAAACGCTTCAGTTGCATGGTTAGACTGTTGTATGTAGGGCTATAGTAGAAAAAAGGTGTCGCATCCTGAAGGATATAGTAAGCAAAATGTTTTTTTTAAAACAAAAAGTAGAAAAATAAAAAAAAGAAAAGCGAGCGTGACCAACAGTTTTGAGAATGAATATATTTTTGTTTCCAATATTTCGTCAGCCATGGGTTGGCTAGTTCAGGAAATCCACGAGAAAATTCGTTGAATATGCTTCTAGGGACCATTAACGTACTGCCAGTTTTATTGCTATAACTTGCCAAGTAGTAGACTGAGTTGATATTTTTGCTAACCAGGTTTTCAAAAATCCAGGTATAAATTTCACAGAAATCACAAAGGAGCAACTCTAAATTTGTTAAAGATCAGTAAA